CCGGCACAAACAGAGTAATATTGTGTATGCTGTTCAGTGTCAGGAGGGTGATCAGTCTTACATTGGGGAAACTAAACAGCCACTAGCCAAAAGGATGGACCAGCTCAGAAGAGCAACATCATCTGGCCAGGACTCTGCGGTCTACACTCATCTCCAGGCCAGCGGTCACTCTTTCAGGGATGAAGATGTTCACATCCTGGACAGAGAGGAACGATGGTTTGAGAGAGGAGTAAAGGAGGCCATCTTTGTGAAAAGAAACCGTCCATCATTAAACAGGGGTGGAGGCCTCCGTGTTCAATTGTCCCCCTCTTACAATGCTGTTATTGCTAGTATCACTCAACCCCCTGTGAATAGTAAACAGCCATCAGTGTGCTAATGATCCATTGTTAGGCTGATGGTCTTATGTGAACAGCTAGTTCTGGATATCAGCAGCAAACTGGTTGATCCACTATGAGAAGGTGCTATTTATAAGTCTGAGTTTAGTGCAGCTCGTCAGACTGAAGAAGTCTTTTGGATTAAAGACAAAAAGTTTCAACAACAAGAAACTATCCAGAAGACCTAACTCAACTTTGTTAATTTGTCTACCTGGATTATTGTGCACGCATCAGGACATGATGGATAGATGTTTGGCCATCATTATTTATTTATTTAACCTTTCTCATTTTCAAGATCAGTGTTCGACAATAATGGCCACTGTTACATTTGGAGGGAAAAGGGAGAAGCTGGCAAGCCTGAGAACACCATCCCAGCTGTAAAGTACGGAGGTGGCAACACCATGATGTGGGGATGTTTAATTACAGGAGGGACTGTGAGCTTCACAAAACAGATGGAATAATGAGAAACAAAGCATAGGAGGAAATATTGAAGCAACATCTGAAGACATCAGCTAGAACGTTTGGACACAGAAGGGGAGTACTTTTAACGAGAGCTTCATGATAAAAAAGCTAAATGCACGACTAAAATAGTTTGAAATGCAGCACCATAATTCCAGTAAACGTTCAGCTTGAGCTGCTCATCACATCCATTTCATATTTAAAGCAAAAAAATAAAATAAAACTGGTTTGGCTTAAGTTCATTAGAAACACTTTAGCTGAATTAATGACCCAAGTAAAAAACCCAAAGCCATTTCCACCAGCACGTCACGTGCTGATTTCCTGCAGGAAGCGCAGTCCCAACATTGCCTCACACAAGTGGGTTTCAAAAGGAAACGCCAAATCACAAAGATAAGGATAAAAAAAGGTCTGCTGAGTAATGTGACCAGAACTGAACTTTAAAAAAACAAACAAGCTACAACAACAGGAACAAAAGCATCGGGGTTTCGAGTGTGCTCACTGTGGCAACCCTGAAGAGCAGCCTAAACAACAACAACAACAACAACAGAAAGACCAGAGAAGCTAATCGTCCAGTTTCCTGAACCTCACAGAGGAGCAGTAATAAATGTGAAATGGGTCAACAAACACCAACAGACTTATTATTTTTTTTAACTTCTCCTACATTTCTAATAAGAGACACTCCTTACAGCAAAACCCTCTCTCAGAACGGAACCTGTTGCTATGACGACTGTGGGTTTCTCTAGCAATAGACTGAGTCACTTCCTGTCTCACACGAGCCTTCCTCTTTTTAATCTGCAAGCCCGCCACATTTACACACCCACCCCCACCCCCCACCCCCCCCACACACACAGCAAACCTCGTGTACGTCTCCATTCATTTCAAAGAAAAACGAGGAAAACGAGGGTCAATGTTGGCCCAAAAAGAAACTGACCCTGGTTGTAAAAAGTGATGAAATGGAACTGAGCTCACAAACTAAGCGCAATAACTAAATGTATGAGCACATCATAAACATTCACTTATGTTTTATTTTTCCTTCACAGCTTTAGTTCTTATCAACTGCTGCTAAAAGCCAAAAGTGGTAATAATGTTTGTGCATGTGTCTCAGTGTGTGTGTGTGTTCATGTTCCTGTCTGTTCGCATAAAGCACTGGACAAACTTTGATGAAACACACGGAGAATCATCAGATGCACAAGTCAAGATGAACATCACAGCCACCCGACTGTAGGAAGCATGGCTATAGGAAACATGGCTATAGGAAGCATGGCTATAGAAAGCATGGCTATAGGAAACATGGCTATAGGAAGCATGGCTATAGGAAGCATGGCTATAGAAAACATGGCTATAGGAAGCATGGCTATAGAAAGCATGGCTATAGAAAGCATGGCTATAGGAAGCATGGCTATAGGAAGCATGGCTATAGGAAGCATGGCTATAGGAAGCATGGCTATAGGAAGCATGGCTATAGGTAGCATGGTTATAGGAAGCATGGCTATAGAAAGCATGGCTATAGAAAGCATGGCTATAGAAAGCATGGCTATAGGAAACATGGCTATAGAAAGCATGGTTATAGGAAGCATGGCTATAGGAAGCATGGCTATAGGAAGCATGGTTATAGGAAGCATGGCTATAGGAAGCATGGCTATAGGAAGCATGGCTATAGGAAGCATGGTTATAGAAAGCATGGCTATAGGAAGCATGGCTATAGGAAGCATGGCTATAGAAAGCATGGCTATAGAAAGCATGGCTATAGGAAGCATGGTTATAGGAAGCATGGCTATAGGAAGCATGGCTATAGGAAGCATGGCTA